GTAATTTCTAAAACTCTCCACAAAAACCCATTCTGATAATAATCAACTGCTCACTAGTGACTGACTTCAGGAAAAACTCCTGGAGTTCTAGTGAGAAGCCGTTACCAGTGGAGTTCAACCGGTCTGTTGTGAGATAACAACTCACTGAAGACAATGGTATATGGTGGCGCAACTTCGTGGATTGGTAGAAATATAATTGTAATAAATTATTATATCAAACAATGGAAGTGATGCATTGTATAATTAACCAAAATTAAGATATTTCAATGTAATAATAGATATGTAATAATTATGCAATTAACATAGAAACTGAATATGAAAGATTATGCAATTAACAATTATAAGGAAGATAATAATATACAAGAATATATGTCAAAACACAATGATCAGGTTTGAATTAAGTAATCTCCAAAGACTCTGTTATGTATAGGTTTATTATCTAGCTTCTCTTTGAAACAGTTCGTTTTATACAATAGATCATTTTTATTAAAGTTTCTGGTAGAAATGGATTACCAGAAGCGACTAGATGTTCAATAATAGAGATATTGACTGATTTGGATTCACCTTTTGATAACCAAGCTGGATAATGCTCAGATATACATTTGTGAAAAGCTCATTTTGTACAGCCAATTAAGCAAGCTCTTAAATACATAGTAAGGCGCCCCAAAGTGCAACCAGATTTGATGATGATTTCTACAGACATCCTGTTGGTATTTCTATGGGGTTCCTACTAAGTTCTCTCTTAACAGTGTTTCATGGCTAAGCTTGAGAATACTGTTCTTCGATCAACAATTAATGGCTTTCATTTCTACTGGCGATTATGGATGATTCTTTCATTATGTACGATGAAACCAATAATCTTAATAATATATAACAGTTCAGTATGTCCCATCATATTCATACTGGAGTCAGCATCAGTCTTATTATTTTATTGAAGTGTGTTCCGATGTTCTCGAGAAAGTCAGTTAAAACCTTACGATTATACCATCCATTTTAGAGAACAAAACATCCTAAAATACTAGTCCTGAGCTATCAATCAACGACCATCATTTCAAACAAAAATGCATCACTTTTTCAGAAGACCGGAAAGCTTTTTACAATGATCGACTTGAAGATAGAATTGGTGATATATGAAGACACGACCAATGTAGAATTATACAATATCCAACAAATACTGATGGAAAGTGGATCTCCTTTCAAGACCATTGAAGGCAACCTGGAACCAAAATGAGTAATCTAAAAAACCCTACTGTACCGTAGATTGCGTTCATGAACAGTGAGTTCAGGAGAGAAACAACTTCAGAGTCCTTACACAACCAATTTGCTAAATCCTTGCGGAGCTTTTATTCAGATGAGTTATGAAGTGTTTTCCAGTAAACGCCTGATGCAAGGATGTATCAAGCACAAACTAGCGTTTTGGGCCACTTCAGTGTATATCTGCCACTTTACTTGCCCTTGTGGAACTTGGTTGCAAAAAGTGTGTTCTTTCCAGAGACAAATCTGAAGACTATCGCTCATGGTTAACGAAAGGCGAGTGTAAATCAATCACACACTTGCATGGTTCGAACGTATGATTTCTAAAGATTTGTTTGTGAATTTGAATACTATGGAATATATAACGGATGTCAGTGGTTAGATTTACGACTAAAAACAATATCCTATGACACGAGATATCAGAAATTCCAAAAAATTAGGGATTAGAAACCATGGCAAAGGATTACGAGGTTCGTAGTGTATAGTTCTACGCCCAGCCCACAAGGGTTATTCTAGCTTCCGGACAGACCAGTTTTTTCTTCTTGAGTCACATTTTGACACTGCCAATAACAAGCTTATCACCCTTGACCGTCTTTGAGCATATGTGTGTCGCATATCCTATTCACCACATACCTGCGGCTTACTTTTGTCTTTGAATATTGATTAACGTTTGATCAAATCGAGTTGTTCTCTGAAGGATCAACGGGTTTGTTGAATGTACGTATACAAAACCCATTTTCGTTATTTTCTAACGCGAATTAAGTCGATAATTATATAGGAGGGCAGCTGGGGTCCATATTTCGTTAACATCACTATACGTTCAAAACATGGTCAAATCTACAGACCAGTAAAAGTTCCCAACTACTATATGGTAGAGCTGAACTCAACGTTTTAATGCTTTACAAACATCTATATTACCATTATACTATGCATGCTTATACAAGTGTTGTGGATCTTACGTGAACGTATAATTGTGTCCCAATAGCAGGTTATCCCAAATGAATTAAAATAATCGTACAACCATTTTTATCTGGTTGGTTGTTTGGGTAATTTTGGCAACATTTTCTTCATAAAAATAAGTAATGAAGGTAGTGAAATGTTCTTCAACATTTAAATTCTTCCTGTTTGTAGAAGTAGTAATAGGTTTATCTCTTGTCTTTCATACCTGTTTCAAAATAATCTCTACCACTGAAGAACAAAATATTTTTACGTCCATTTATATTCCTTTTGCAATAAGTTAACCATCAAGTACGGCAACACGATCATTGTAATTCATCCAATAAAGAATCCACTTCCCAGTAACAATAAATCTTAGTCTAGTTACTGAATAGAGAACAGAAGTTTAGTCACTGTAGTACAAGTCTCATAATACGTCATCATGAAGAATATTAAGCAAGCTTTGAGGATGTTTCAGTTAATATGTATTAAAAAACTGACCCGGAGTTTACCGATCTCTGGATGATAGTTTTGTAAAGTTTTTCAACAAAACGAGAATGACGTAGTCACACCCACTACTTTGGTCAATATAGCATACCACTGTTTTCACCTATATATATCTTTATTTGAAAGATGTACTGGGTATAAAAAATGGAATACAATCCCAGCTCTTACTTAACATATCAAACAATAAGTCTTGCCGGATGACGGAATAAGCAATCACATCCTAGAAATCCACGTGTGAATAACAACCCTGGTTATACTTTCAAATGACGAAATGCGAAGTGACACCACTTACTCCTAACATATCTTTCTAAGTTAACCTGTCTGTGGGAGGATCCTTATAATTCTAGGAACTGAACTTAGGTCTTTTGATGCATACAAGACTGGCTGATTTAATAAGTTGAGAAAAACCAAAATGCTCAGAACAAGACGTGCAACAGACCACGAAGTCATTGATTGTTGGTGTAGGTCGTGCTGTTCCCATTACCACCACCGGGACCCACCAGATAATCATACCCTCTTATTTAATGACCTGAAATAATATAGCTAAAAACTAATAACACATGCACATATTACACTATACAGTTCAAGTTAGCGTTTCATAGCATGATCGGAGGTTATACGGCTTCACCCTCGAATGAATCTACAACATAAACTTCTCTGCTGTTTAAAGAAATGTAAATAGGTTAACAACATATAACTTAGTCTTCGTAGGTTAGGATTCTAATTCGCGATTCAGATTGGGAACCATATCTTAACTAATGAACAGGCCCGTAGAAACTTCACAATCGTTTCGACTTGTTAGCAGTATACAAGATACTCCCAGTACAAAAAAACTGTTGAATACTCGCTGTCTAGCTTGTTTTAAAGTCCTGATGGAAAAATAGACCTACTACTTTTGTAGGCTGTACTTTTAGTGGATGGGTATCAGTTTGGGCATTATGGAATACTAAGTAGTGCGGAACAGTTGTTTCGCAGGGTTGTTCCCGTTATGGTATGGGACTCATTAGTAAGCAACTATGATAGGACTCTTAATCTCATGTCCAAACTATTGGACCCCTTAGTCGGAGCCCAATGGTATAGATCTAGGTATTGATTTAATGCATACAGAAATTTGTACTCAGGGATCATTTCCAGAGCAAACAAGCTGAGTTACAGAAAAACGTCACTAGAAAGCCAATTTTGATCTACTCAAAATGACTACTTACTGTTCATATTGACAAATACACTTCACAAAACCCTATGAGTAGTACTCTCGTAACTGAAAAGAAAACGTTTTTAATTAAGGCAAACATTTTTTATTTACAATGTTTTGATCATTAAAATGTGATTTTTTCTGAAGTTTTAGTACGAACTGAAGCTGAAGGAATAAACCTAATTATTGAGATTATCACTGAGAGTTTACGGATCTTTCTGTAAATGACTAAAGGAGTGTCTGAATATTTAGATAATGATAGACCAGTAAATTAGAAAAGGGAGGTAGTGAGTGTGAAATAGAATGAACACAAGCTTTATTGTATGTATTATTTAGTCATGTTTCTAGTATTTATAGAATATTAAGTTCATAATTATATAAACAACTGAGACACAATTAATGATCAAAACAATCAGTTTTGAATGGACTACATTGAGATTTTTGTTGACGTTGTTAATCATTGTAAAACAAGCATACTGACAATTACAAATTACACTTGGTGAATCTACCAAAAGAAATTCAACTTTCAGATCGGCTGATTTTCTTGTGTTGATCAATTTCTCCAAATCATGTTTTAAAGTTGTGAATACTCTAGTTCACAACCTCTAGCAACAGTTCTTGAAAAACTGACCGGTAAAGGAACAAAACGTTATGGAGTACATGAATTATTGTTTGTCATTAACTGAGATGCAGATTGGTTGATCACTTGGTAACCAACGTCGATAAATATTTAAACTAGTTGATGGGAATATTTACAAACATATGATCTTACAGTTAGTTCAGAAACACCCGAAACTTCGTATGTTATAAATGAGCTAAGATGTGTCGAAAATATCAACACTTACGTAAACTGAGATTAATGAAAATTATTAACAGTCCAGTAAACTCTACTTTTTTGTGTTGGTCCTACGTTTGAATCATGTTTTATAGATAAGATTGATAGGTTAACAATTGATAAGTATGAACAGGTATAGCATAACATAAGAACTTATGAGGCTGTTACAAAAGATTAAACGAAATAAGAAAAAAAAACTAGCTAGAATATAAAAGTTTATGTACCAGAAATCGAAGTCAGAGAAAAGTAAACAAACTGGTTAGATAGATCATTCATTTATATCGCTGTTTTGCTGAAACTGATACGCAAATGGGAATTTTCTGTTAGTTGACAGTTGTGAAGCTCCTAAAAAGTAGATTAGTGATAAGCATCTTTACAAAAATTGACTTACAATCAAGGCTTGGATAGCCATATCAACGTTTTCCAGTTGAATTAAGGCCATCTTTTTATCTTTCCTGAACAAAGGAACATGGTTATATCAACAGACAACTTACATCATAAACTTAAAGTCCGTAACATGATATCCTTTAGTTTCAAAAATCATTCTAACCTCTTCTTCTGTGATTGCGGAGGGTATATTACTTAAATGCAAAACATGATTGGGAGCATAAATGTTCGCAAAATTCTTAGAATTCGGCTTTCTAAAACGATGAAGTGGACTATTGGTATAGTCTTTAGTAAGCCCGACATCACTATCTTCTTTTGGTAACTGGACAATGTTAAAGCGTGAAACAGCTATTTTTAGAGGTTTTCCATACAATGGTTGTCCATTAAGATGATACAAAGCTACAAAAGTGACAAAACACTAAGACTCGTTATTAAGAGGATACCTGTAAGAGCTTGTTGTGGATCTGAAAATTGCACAAGAGCAGTACTTTTTTTATTGAACATTATTTTGACTCGTGTTACATCACCATAAACACCTGTTGAACAAAAGAATTGAAAATAATTAGAAATATCAGATAAACTACGAAAAAAAAGTATTAAAAATGTGTCGACTGCACTCGGAAATGATAAGTGAGCTGAAGTTGCACTGCCGTTTAGGCATGTCAGAAATATAGGGAAATTGATTTTTTTGAGAGAATAAATAAATAAACCTACCGAAGAGTGTGAATAATGCATCTGGATATACTTTCTAGTTCAGAAAACAGTAGGTAGATAAAAGCCAGGTATAAAATTGAAATGTGAGCACGCAAAGCATACGAACAAAATTAGTTTGTATATATGTGAAAATAAATAATGGAACAGACCAAAACGTGGTAAAAATGCATTTTAAGTTTGTGTAGATACCAATATGAATTGGATTGTTGATTTGTACAGCGAAGATAAATTGTACCATTTCACAAGTGAATTAAGCACCACATCACAATGAAGTCGAATTGTAGTCAATCACATTGGAATCAAATGATAGATTTACGGAGAGGAAAAAGGAAACAAAATAAACGCAATAAGTTAAAAACAATTGCGAACCATAGGCTTTATCACAATGAACAAAGCAATAATAACAATAAAGAATAGAATAAGAGTGAATTCAAAACTTTATCAAATAATCTGTAAGGAAATTTAAATGGAAAAAGGAAATCGGAGAAGACTAAAATCTAAGAAGAATAATCAATACGTACCTCCTCATTGAGATTGGAAACTATTAACACAGTACTAGTTCCAGTTTGACCCAAGTTAGGCACAGATTGATTAATCAAGTTTGGCAGAAGCTGTGTTTGGTTTTGTACAGTTGGTAAAGCTGTACGAGGACCTTGTAGAGCTGCAGCATTTAAAACAGTTCCTGGAGTTGGATTTATGGCAGAATTCCCACCTTGCGCAGTTAGAGCCATGAAACTGGCAGTTGCTGCGGCTGCAGCAGGGGTCAATGCAAGACCAGATTGTTGAGCAAGCAACGTTAACTGAATAGCAAGATCGTTGATACCTGACGCTGAAGCTTGGGGGACGGCTGTGAAAGCTGCGGCCGGATTACCTAGTGGTATATTTTGCCCGATAGAAGGTTGAGGAATTGAATTAATGGTTGAATTATTCGTCGATGCAGTTACTCCACCTGGAAGAGCTTGTAAACTGTTTAATTCATCATCCGTTAGAGGTGATACAGTATAATCACGGCATTTATCATTCTCGCGACGAACTTCCAAAGGCCCTCGGGCTTTCCAAAATTCCACTTGAAGAGAACAACAACCCGTATAAATATTTTGACCGTTTAGAAGCTAAAATATGGAATGTGATAGCAAGATTTTTGAAAAGAAAGACAGATGAAAACTAACCTTAAAAATGGTAATGAAACAGTGGAAGATTAAGAAGGTCAAGTGATGTTCAACTAAATCGTGGTCAGCAGTTTTGTAGATGACCGTTGATCCACCAATAACTAACTTGATGAAGTAAATATCAGATAAGAACTGGTTAAGATTGCTGTTACAATTAAGAGTAATTTCGATCGACGGTTCTAAATTTTGCCTGGAGTTTCCCACTAAAGTGAATTGATGTTGTTCTGAGGTTATAGATAAAGATGAAATTTTGCTTAAGGATATTTAAAATGACACTATTAATCAACAATGGCAATAATAGTAATGAAAGTACGAGGAGGAAATGAACTTTTCAAGTGCAACAGTAGTACATACTGAGACAAATTATTCTTAAGTTGAAGTGAGAAATGAAAATGTTAAGTTGTATGTTAAAATGATTTTCTTCGTCTAGTCAGAGGGAACTGACGAGCAGAGTAATGTAAGGTTCATAAAGCTCAAAACAAAACTTGGTACTTTGATTTACAAAAAGATCTCAATAAGTTTGCAATTAGTAGAGACCGATAAAGATTGCCAAGGCAATATTTAATCGTTTAGTTACCGATGAAATCGAGTGAATCGAAGCATTAACTGATAACCAAAATACACAGAAATGGCGACAATTGAATTTAATGAAATGTTTTACTTACTAACATAGCAACGAACGCTTGGATATGGTTTTGAAATTCCAACAAGCATCGATATTGGTTGTTACGCAAGAAAATTAAGACACGTAAAATAGTTCCAAACCGATGAAATATCTACAAAGCTAGACTGGAATGAAGAGGTTACCTTATACAAAATAACGTGGTTGATTTGTTGGCCCATGATATTGTCAATGACCACATGCAGTACAGTGTTAGGAACACCTGTCTGAGCACCCGGTAGATCCTGCTGAACAACACGGTTGGCATTCTTAATAGCGTTAACTATTGCATCGTTTTCTGAAATTAGTTCAAGATGGGAATGTGTAGAAAATTGAAAGATCAAGTGTTTCCCGTGTAAAGTTACGGGATACTTTAAATAGTGAGCAACTAGTTGCACAGCTTCCTCCAAAACGTGCATCTCAATGAGTGCTTGATTATTTCTTTTAGAAAGGACCATGTTTTAAGAAGGCCAAAAGGTATGGCAAAAAGAGCGATCTCGTTTTCAGTTGCGTCTGCTGGCATATTTCGTATGTGTATAACACGTGAAGGTGATGCTTCCAACCGGTCGACACGCGACTACAAAAGTGAGCAGTACTTCAAAAGTTTACCTTTTTAGTATCGACTGTTTCGAGGTCCATTGAGAGATGACCGTTGCGATGTAAATTTATGCTTGGTACACTTAAATCTCGCTAGAGAAAAAAAGAGATTAAGTATTATAAGCATACTAGTAAACAAAATATTAGAGGAATGTCATATCTATAACAAATACATAAGAACAACTTACCGCTCTTATTAGCTGCGTGACATAAATTTACGGACGGGGAAAGAACAATCCGAGGTTTTTAATATACTCTTACCACGTGTATGAAGCTGTGTGTATCTAACACTAACAACGTTTAGAGATTAATTATTACCGAAAACTCAACACTTAATTTACAAAATGTTAGTTACATAACTAATCACTCAAGCTAGCCCAGTATGTGATTAATTATTTGTTTAAAATTGTGCCTGTTTGGAAGAACCTTTTAAATTTAAACTGGGTGTTGATATCATTTAGAATCTCCAAAATGAACGGCTCCAAAGATGGGTGAACAACACATAACAGTTAGATCAAAGAATGACATTAAGTTTAGAACTCGCAAGATTAGGTTTAGAAATTTAAAGATCACTTCAATTATCTATGAAACACGATTACTTGGCAAAACCTAGCTTGTACCTCCTCATGCAGAACGAACCAACTAATATATCTTGGTATGCTTGATTCTTGATCTTCAGTCAATAATTAGACTATTTAGGGTAATGCTCTGAAGCACATGGCGAGTAAACACAGGTAACAAGTCCTCAGCATCTTTAACGATGATGAGACTGGTATCACCGTGGCAGCTCATACAATCAATAAAAAAAGCAAGACTTGACATGTCCGTAGCTTCGAATGAAGCTGGTTTTACAAATCCTTCGGTGAGAATGAAATACTAATAAAACTACTAGTTTGAACAGGAAACCTGGACTGTGGATACAGTGCTTCCAAAACCTAGTCTGCATACTGGCAAGTGCGTACAGAAAGGTTTACTGAGCATGGGACTTGAGTTACGTATAATCAAATGATTGTAATGGTAAGTGGTACTGTAGCGTCTTCCAACTGACTATGCCTTAACACGTAACTGTTCTAGATTGAGGTGGCCATCGACCACAGGTTGCATCAAATCTTTAAATAGTACCCACTTAACAGTACGGGAGGACTATCCCCCAGGCTCGAGTAGCAGAGGTTAACCTGTTACCCATCTGACTGGCACGTTTTTAGCCCTAATAGTCAAACGTATTTGTTAAGATGATCCTATTCACTGAACAGATGGGTTTGTAAGACTTCTTGTTTAACAATAATGAGGGAAACTTAGTTGCCTTGCGACCCGTAAACCCTCTGTAATTAATCTACTAACCGACTTTGTGAACCACTTTCCTCCCGTTAACCCCTACAGTACAAAAATCTTTATCGTATAATTCACGGACTGGTTTTGAAGACCTGAAGTACTACCATATCCGGACACTATTTAACGGTAATAATGCATGAACATCCGTAAGTCCTACACATTTTGTACGCATGTGCGACAAACTACCACAAAACGGAGTTTTACTTTCTATTCCTGGCTGATGCCAAATCACGATACGAGTAGTGCAAGCAATTGGGTTTTCCATTTAGAGACGAATGCAATGAATAAACAATAGAATATATCTCAGTGGTGAAAAAAGTACTTGGAACTTACTTTACGTTTGTTAGGCTAAAAAGAACAAACAAAAGCAATTTAGTACAAGGAAACTACTGGACATATTGCTTTTAAACAGAAGGCAAGCACTCACCATAGATGACGGGCATAGAACACCAAACATGGCGTCTCGGCGCCAGGTGTCATGTATCGTGTACCCACGGAAAAACAAACTACTAACAGCAATTCATATTTCGTTCACTTTCTCCTTGAATTTTGGAATATGAAAATGCTTTATTCGTTGAAATTTTTATTTTGACGTTGGCGCGCTTTACAAACCATAAATTCTTGCCTGGCCTACAGCGTCTTCAGCCATTGGTTTCTAGTTTCAATTCAGCGGTTGTCCCGATCTGAGGATTGTATTATTTCTGATTATTGTCGGCATTTTGTCCAACACACGTTTGTGCATTGTGTACGATTGCTGGATCTTCGATCCCATATAGCGGTAAACAAATCCCCAAAATAAATTGTTCTGAATGTCTTCAAATTTGATGCTGAACTGATTAGTTTTGACGTTCATATCTAGCTGTATGCTCCTGGTCATACATCCGCACAAGATCACGAGTAGGTGCAACTTGCTACGCATCTCTTACGACCATTAGCCACGCTACATTAAATAGTTTCAGACATATCGATAGCTTTTGAAATATATCTTCAAGCCTCTTCATTTCTGACTTCTGATTTGATTACATCGACATACTTCAATTATATAGACGTAATGTGCAAAGTCTTTGTAAGCCTCCAAATATCTGTGACATCCTTAGCACTGAGACCGACGTGATATCTTACACTAATTCGTAAACTGTAAGTTCGTTCCTTATTTGAACATTATATATCATGTTTTATTTTCATTTTTACATATTGTGATATTGTTTTCATGTTTTTGGACATTTTCCACGCATAGGTATATTCATCATGGCGGAACAGTTTCCTAAGTTATTTAAGATTAAGACTCTCTCGATTCCTTCATTTCAGCTAGTGCCATTTTAGCCCGATAGTATCTATCCTTGGTTCTGCTGCTCAGAAGCTGACTTCCATGATCACGGTGTGTCAGACCCACGTCCACAATTCTTTGCAGTAATGAGGGCACTACCGCGCGCTTTTAACGGGTACATCACACGTAGTGTTCTTACTACCTTAGGAAACTTTAAAAAGGCTATCCTTAAGTGTGGAGACCTGACCGATCGATGTGGGTTAGAACAATTCTTCCATAACCTCGAGCTGCAACATGACCCAGAAACAGAAACAATGCTGCGAATGCGAGAAGTCATTTGTCGACGGACCTTTGACAAGGGTCTGCTTATACAGTTCTCGTATTGCGAATAATATTTTAGATAATTAGTTACCGAGACGGATTGCACAGATACAACTGACGCTTGATAATTATAAGTAGTATTTCTGATATTTACTTTGACAAAGAGGTCGGGGATTGTACAATAAAGTTTGCCATCGTTATGGTTAAATAACCCGGATTATTCAAACAAGAAGGAAAAGCTGGAGCATTTTTCCATGTCCTTGGTATGGATGGAAATGTGCTATTGCTGCTTATGGGCCATATAATCTTTTCATAGAACATCGGACTGAGGCTATAACATAATTAGGATTAAGATAAAATGATCATCCTTCAAAACTGAATATATTAGACCCAACAAGTTAACGTTCTATCGTTAGTCTAAAAACGATTGGAAACTACTAATATTTAAAACTCGATACTTCACCGTAATCAGCCGTTTTCTCATAATAATATAAAAACCCAGAGAAATGATAGAATCCCTTCAGAAAGATCCACTAAATGTTGGAAATAGAGGTACTTCAGCAAACTATACTGTACTGACATTGGAGAAAGGCAAATCGGTTATTTCAAGGAAGGTTTATTAGTCATGGATTTTTCGAATTGTTTTCTGACCATTACTGCAACAGCTCAAACCGAACGGACCTAACTGTATTCACGATATTCATCCTCGAAAGTATCCTTAGCTGACAGTCACTGCATCACAGGAAGACCATAAGCCACTCACCAGCAAAGTCCATCCAACTCCGTCCTGGACAATGCTTTCGGGTTGTTTCCAGTTGCCATTCATTCTTTTCATATTTGTTTCCAATTCTCGGTGTGGTGTGTTCTTTGGCCTTTCTTTTTTCCGTTTCTCTTCAGGATTCCAACTTATCGCATTCCTCGTAATACAGTTAAATGATTTCCTCAATCTACGTCCAAGCAAATTTCAACGTCTTTTCCTAATTTCCTCTTCAGATGGAACCTGGCTTGTTATCTCCGTCAGAAGGCTGTTGCTGATGGTATCAGGTCGACGGACATTCAGTATCTTGCGAGAACAAATGTTTATAAATACTTGTACGTTTTTGATTATGGTTGTGCTAGTTCCCCACGTTCTAGCTCCATACAGTAGAACTTTCTTAACGTTCGTATTGAAGATTTTGACTGATATTGGTTGAAAGTTGTTTTTAGTTCCACATGTTCTTCAATTATAGGAATGCGGCCCTTGCTTTGCCTATTTTTACTTTTACGTCTGCATCCGGCCCCCCTTGTACATCAATGGTGCTTCCCAGGTATGTGAAGGATTCCACATCTTCCAGATTTTCTCCATGAAGTGTGATTGGGTTGGCGTTCTCCATGTTGTATTTGAGGACCTTGGTTTTTCCTTTGTGTATGTTGAGACCTACTGATGCAGAGACTGCTGCTACACTGTCTTCAACTGCATTTGTTCGTGTGTATGGTGTAGGAGAGCAAGGTCATCTGCGAAGTTCAAATTGTCTAATTGATTCTGAGCTGTTCATTGTATGTTGTGTTTTCCCTCAAATGTCGTGGTCTTCATAATCCAGTTAACAACCAGAGGAAAGAGCAAGAGGGAGAGCGGACAGCCCTGTCTGTCTCCAGTCTTTACTTGGAATGCATCTGTCAGTTGTCCTTCATGCCCGACTCTGCACTGTAGTCCGTCGTATGACTTCCGTATGATGTCAAATTTCTCAGGTGCTCCATAGTATCGAAGAAGTTTCCATAAATTTCTCTTATCTACACCGTCAGACGCCTTTCCATAATCAATGAAGTTGATGTATAGTGACGAGTTCTACATAACTGATTTTTCGACTATGATCCTTAGTGTCGCAATTTGGTCTGTGTACGACCGCTCCTTGCGGAATCCAGCCTGTTGTTATCGAAGTTGTGCGTCTACTGCACCTTTCATCCTGTTCAGCAACACCCTGTTGAAAACTTTACCTGATCTTGACAGTAGTGTGATCCCTCTGTAGTTCTCATAGTCGCTAAAATCTTCCTTACCCTTTTATTGTTGACCGATCTTTCTGGTCTACTATATTTTCCTACCAGCTTCTTTGTCGTGTCATGTAGTTGCTCCATATTTCCTTCTCTTGCAGCTTTTTCTGCTATCGTTTCTGGGTCTTCCACATATTTCTGTTTGTCAGCTCTAAGACTTCTCTTCACCTCCTTGTTTGCTTCTGTGTATTCAGCTTGTGCCTTGGCTTTATTCGGCTGTTGTTATTTGCGGTCTTCTTGTTTTTCTCTTCTTGAATCTTGCGCTTGGACAGGGATTCATTCCTTATGATGGAGCTTCTTGCAGCCCAGAATCTCCTGACACGTCGACGTAAGTGCTTCTTTGTTCTCTTCCCAGTTGTCCTCCATTTCAGTTTATTCTTCTTTCAGTAGATGCTGTAAGGCTTCGAACCTGTTGTTGAGAGCTATATTGGATTCTCTATGATTGATTGTGGCCTCTCATAGAACTAATCTTCATCGTTGTCATTGCTATTATTGATGGGTTTATAGCACTGAATAACATTCATTATGATTCTTTATTTCTTTCTTTGGGAGGATGCTTTGATGATCCTGGATTCATGAGATTCTCACCCAATAAGTGCGTTTCGTGCTTGTTTGGACAGCATCAGAGTAACACTTTGAGTGTGTGGAGCATTTACGTTTTCGTGACCGGAGTACAGCAGCATCTCTTCCGTAGCTAACCTTTGCTGTCCAGTTCGCATCAAATGGGTTTCGCTGACTTCGGAAACTGCGAAGTTGTATCTGTGTATTTTCATTGCCATTTGACTGGTCCTCCCGGTATCCCACATTGTTCGAACGTTCGGTGTATCCATGTTAATTTTTGCTCTGGTTGTTAGAAGAGACTTCGGCCTTGTGACTTCCGAGGAATTTCGGCTTTCATCAAGAGGAGTCCTAATTCTTCGTTCAACTCGGAGTGCAGAGTTTAAATGGTTAAAATTGTTTATTCTGGTTAGCGTTTTCTTTAGCAAGGTTGTTATTTGTCGGATGCAGTCGGCAACCCAACGCCCAGTCATCTTTCTTTAGTCGGGCATGCAACCGGCAGTGGCTCTTAAAGAGCTACAGGCGAAGTCTTTAGTGACAAAGCCCATATAAATAAACCTCTAAATAGATCATTGTTTACCTGATCCTCAGAGTGATTGCAAATTTGACAGACAAAACGAGGTCGTCGATGAAAAAAGTTTTTCAATTATTCATAACGTTGCTTACCATGCTAGGGACTAGCACTACGTTTGCTGATTCAACATTTCACTGCTCAAAAGTACAGTTTTAGGTAAACAAAAGCTGGTAAAGAGATTGGCTTGTGCCAATGCTTGCAGTAAAAAGTCATGCTAAAGTTCGATGTACTTTTGTTTAGACAGAATATTATTTCTACTTTCAAGGTGTTTGATTAGAGTTGACTTGAAGATAGTCTATTTACTAAATGAATATCGTCACACGGTCCAAACCGGTAGTGCAGTAGGCAAAAAGGATTTTTTTCTTGTCACCTAGAAATTTGCGATTGAAATCTCAAAATTATTGATGAATGAATTAGGAATTAGCAGCAACATATCGTTGTTGTCTATCAGAACAGTACGCTTACGACGACACAAAAATGTTGCATACGCCGAACAAAATGCTTGCCACGGATACTTAATATAATTCCCTGCTTATTTACTTATATTCTCCGGTCACTGTCTACCGCATTCTCGACAACAATTTTCAATAGGTGCAAGCAAACGCCACACTTATGGCTTGATAAACTGGAGTCATATTACTCAGCATATTATCACTGTTTTGGCTATCTGTCGTTAGGCTCGCAGCTGCTTGACGTCAACATCATGACT